AAGCTACCTGTCTTCTTTATTTGTATCCTGAGAGTTTCCTTCTTCTTGCTTCATATCTGGCGCCCCCTTATGGAGGGCGTGCATCATTGCAGCTGGCTCTATGATGATTTTGGTCTTTAAAACAGAGCTAAATCATCACACATTTGCCCTCAAATCGTGTGGAGATATTAAGTAATATTTAATAGACTTGATTATGTGGTTTCTGACACTATACAACACACTTTTATCTATAAACATGGACGAACATACACCACATGGCTAAAAGCAGTAGTAGCAGCCACGGACAAGCCTGAATTGTGTTTGTTTTTGGTTTGAGGCAAGAGTGTGATGATTTAGACATGCTGTTAGCACAGTGCTAAGTAGTGAGGTGTAGGTTTCCATTACTTGTTAGTTTCATTAGCCTTGTAGCTCCAATGTAAAACTACCCTGCTGAAAAAACCCATAGAAACCATTGTGTTTCTGTTGTAAAAATGAGTTTGGGCTTTTTTAATGGGTTGATATCACAATGTAAAGGATCCTAATGGTTTAACAGGTGACCAATGGCTGATTCTAAATGCAGTTAATGGTTTCCTATTAGGTGTTTTACAGCGGTTTTACAGAGGCCTTTAGAGGCCTCGATTGAAAATCATTAGGTCAATTCTTATTAGAAAGCAAAATCATTGAGTTTCAATCATAATGGTTTCCAATGGGCCTCTTTCAGCAGAGTAAAGAAGGAGACCGTCAGATCCCACATTTACAGTAAGAGGGAAAAAGTGTTATTTTGTCCACCAAACTATAACATTCAGTATTTTGGAACTAAGCAGAAGCAGGACCTGGTGTCTTTGTGACTGTAGAAGCCTCTATTTTGGTCTCATGAAAAATCACAGCCTGTTTAGGACTGAGCACTGCAGTTTCACCATCTATCCAGCCGTGAGGAAATAAACTACATGCATGCAGCCTTTTCACATTCAAATTCTATTCAGTAGGACAGGATCTGTAATTACGGTGCTAAGTGCTATGGTGGAAAGAGAAACGCTGCTTTAAAAAGCAGTGGAAGTCTGTCTTCTGGTTGCTAACGGCTTTCAGGCCACCATGTGGTGTCTTTTATTTGTGCTGCATGATCCATTGAAAGCAATAAAGCACATTTTTGGACTTTTTTTTAAAACTTCTCGTGAAAGACACGTTTCTTTAGATTCAATTGAGGAAGCTCTTGCTCAAAGCTGCTTCCTTTTTGATTATACTGTAGCTGAATGTGTGATCGGTGTGATGTGGTCTTCTGCGTGAGGAGAAGGATAGACTGTATGGGAAAAGTTCTACATATCAATTATAAATGAAGTGGCAGCGCTCTGTGAAAAAGTCTGTCTTTGTGTGCTGCAGCCACACCTGCACTTCATTCCCCGCCTTCAAAGTGTAGCTTTTGAAATCCAGGTGAACTCTGAGAGAACTGTACAAGATGTGGCTGCAATAGAGAGTTTAGATGTGTTTTTTCCATCGGGAGCTACAGTAAGTGCCTCTCGACCTGTCTTATGTTACAGAACCTTTTTTATCTTGTGAATGCAGGTCTATGTAACATAGTAGTCCATCAGAATGATGTGCTGGACTGATGGACAGGAGAGTCTGCATTGAGTTCTCTGTAGGCCTCTCTCACTTGTAGGCTTTGTCTATTGATTGTGTTCACCTTCTCTTACTCTCTCTGAGAGGCAGTGCTCTGCAGAAGCTGTTCAGGGTCAGCAGGTGGAGTAGAAAAAGACTGATATATGTAAATGAGCTCTGTTCTAATTGGCTGCCCTGTATTACGCCTCATTCAGAAAGCAGTCGAGGCTGAAACATTTCTTATAACTTCAGTGTGAGTGGGCGGGGCTAAACTGCTGTGTAACTTAGGTGTATTCAGTGTTTGGTAGTAATTATCGGGATTCCATTTGCATAATGCTAACTGGTATCTATGCACTTTCATTCACTGTTAGCAACATTAGCATTTCTGGATGAACTATTCCTTTCACTGCACGTAGTTCATAACGATTGTTGGCTACTCTTTCCTATTAGCTACTCGTTTCTCTTTGCATGCTTGAATGGTTTATGGTTTCTGAGATGCTGATCAATTCTAGGCCAAGACCAACTTTACAGGAGAATAATTTAGTCCAAGACTCTCTAAACCCTCCTATTGTCTATTATATTTAGGCTCAATTTGACCCAATTTTATGTTATCTCTAAATAAATGACTAAGACATTTTTTTGGCTTCAAATTTTATGACTAATTTAATGGAGATGACAGAGTTAACATAAAATTATGATGATATGTTTTCAATTTTCTGTATAGATTTTATACGCATCTGTGATTTTGGGGGTTAATTTGAATAAGAAATATGTTTTACACAGCTAACACACATATGTTTTGGTTCTTTTGGATGATATTGAGGTCAATTTAACATGCTATTTTATAATCTTTAAGAAACTTCCCTCTGCTTTAGGGCCCTAACCTAACAGAACCGCACCTGTAGTAGTGAGAACCACGGATAGTTCACACCACATGAAGGAGGGGAACAAAATTGGACCCTCAGCACACATGACAACCGGAGAAAAATCATTATTAATTATATTCATTGTTACATATGATATCTTTACTATGAACAAGTGATTATAATATGAGGATTAACTAATTAGCTGTTCATAAAATCTAAAATCTGTATGTGTGATTTGCACCAGGACAGATTAAATGTTCTTGCTTTGGTAACAGCAGTGCATGACCTGTAGAGGGAGACAAAAACTTGTCCTGAGAGCGACACCTCAGTAATAACTGGACTCTGCAGTGACTGTTGGCTATACAGATGTGAAACAGGGTTTACACCCATCAGGCATAACATTATGACCACCTCCTTGTTCAGCTCCACTTACTATATAGGTGCACTTTGTAGTTCTACAGTTACAGACTGTAGTCCATCTGTTTCTCTGCATACTTTGTTAGTCCCCTTTGACCCTGTTCTTCACTGGTCAGGACCCCCATGGACCCTCACAGAGCAGGTACTATTTGGGTGGTGGGTCATTCTCAGCACTGCAGTAACACTGACGTGGTGGTGGTGTGTTAGTGTGTGTTGTGCTGGTATGAGTGGATCAGACACAGCAGTGCTGCTGGAGTTTTTAAACAGTGTCCACTCACTGTCCACTCTATTAGACACTCCTACTTTGTCAGTCCACCTTGTAGATGTAAAGTCAGAGACGATAGCTCATCTGCTGCTGCACAGTTTGTGTTGGTCATCCTCTAGTCCTTCATCAGTGGTCACAGGATGCTGCACACAAGACGCTGTTGGCTGGATATTTTTGGTTGGTGGACTATTCTCTGTCCAGCAGTGACACTGAGGTGTTTAAAAACTCCAGCAGCACTGCTGTGTCTGATCCACTCAGACCAGCGCAACACACACTAACACACCACCACCACGTCAGTGTTACTGCAGTGCTGAGAATGATCCACCACCCAAACAGTACCTGCTCTGTGAGGGTCCATCGGGGTCCTGACCAGTGAAGAACAGGGTAAAAGGGGGCTAACAAAGTATGCAGAGAAACAGATGGACTACAGTCTGTAACTGTAGAACTACAAAGTTCACCTATATAGTAAGTGGAGCTGATCAAATGGACAATGAGCGTAGAAACAACGAGGTGGTCGTAATGTTATGGCTGATCAATGTAAACTACATAGATGATAGTTTGGTCTGATTTAATTAAGGAAATAAGCTGATCACAACCTCATTCTGTGAGGTTTATTACTTTTGCCTTTGTGATTACAGTTGTAAGAGTTCTAAAAGAGTCTCTGTGGGACAGCATTGTTTATTGCAGCAGTACTGTAATTAATGTAATGTACTTTTTAAAAATGTATTTTCTGATTTTTTAAAAATGGTTTTCCCTGTTAATTTTCACTGTTATTACTTTCGACTGCAACTGATCGATTAGGAGGGGAAGACAAAAAAGAGAGAAAAAAGGCAAATATAGAGCTGTTGAATAAAAAAAAAGGTGTATTGAAGGGAAATTCCACTGATTTTTCAAAATTTTCTACATAATTAAACGATTAAGATGCAAACAAAGTTGTTTAGAGTGGTTTGGTGTAAAATATCATATGCTGTTCTCACTGAGTCTGAACTGTTCACAGTGGTGGTGATGGGAACCAGGACGTCTGAAGCCTTTAATGCCACTAAAAGCCCCCTCACACACTGTTAGAAATAAAGGATCTGTGCAGGTACAGTTTTTGTTCATCAAGGTACAAACAGTGTAAATGTTCCCTCAAAGGTTCTACAGTGGTTTTAAGATCTGATTGTGAACCTTAAATAAGTTGTTCCAGGTGAAAAGTTCGTATTTGTACCTTTTCATAACCGAATGTTTTAAACAGAACAGTAAAATAAAAGCCTGGAGACGAGACGGGGTGTGTGGAGTCAGTACAGCTTAGAAAATATCATTTCAGTGGATTATGGTTCAGTTATGTTCCCTGACTAAAGGTACTGAGATGGACCCTTGAGGGAACCACCCCAGTGACAAGAGGGGAACTGCCCCAGAGACAGTTTAGTACCTTTATTTCTGAGAGTGTATAAAGTTACATGAAAGTTGGTTATGAATTCACTGCCTGATGTCTCAGACATTGTTTTATGATAGTTTTGAGGATAATCTATACTCATCAACATTCCATATAAACTCAGAAGACACGTGTAGGTTCACTGGTGGTTCTGGATAGTAAATAAAATGTCTGTATTTGTGTTGTAGTCATGGCGACCCCTGGTTCCTATCACCACCACTGTAAAGAAATCTGAACCATTTCACACCAAACCACTCTGAATCTCTCTGTTTGCATCTCAAACACTGAATTCTACGGAAATTTCGGTGGGGTTCCCCTTCAAGCCAATCAAAATCAACAGTTAAAGTGAGCGAGAGAGAGAGGGGGGTGAGGGAAGGGGAGAGAGAGAGAGAGAGAGAGAGAGAGAGAGGTAAAGCTGCTGCTGTCACTTCATCATCTCCTCACTGAGAGCGAGGAGAGGAGAGGAGCGCCGCGCGCGCACGCTTTCCTCCAGTCCGCGCGCGTCTCCGTCCACTTTCCTCTCAGCGCTCTCAACTTCACCAACATCTCCGGAGCGGTCCGGCTCTGCGCGCGCGCTCCTCTCTCCTCTCTCGCGGTATGTGGTGATTGAGGCGCGGCGCGGTGGAGATGTGGAGGTTGCCGAAGAGCCGCCGCAGCAGCTTCAGCGGTCAGAGCGCCGGCGGCGACGGGCAACAGCAGCAGCAGCAGCGCGAGATCTCCGTGAACATCGGCGGCGTGAGGCTCGCGCTCCGGCCGGACGTGCTCAACCGCTTCCCGGAGAGCCGCCTGGCCGAACTGGCCAACTGCCCCGCGCGCAGCTTCGACGTCATCTCCTCGCTGTGCGACGACTATGACCCGTGCGGTCGCGAGTTCTACTTCGACCGCGACCCGGACTCCTTCAAGTGCATCGTGGAGGTCTACTACTTCGGCGAGGTTCACATGAAGAGGGGCATCTGCCCCATCTGCTTCATCAAGGAGATGGAGTTCTGGAAGATAGACCTGAGCTGCCTGGACGAGTGCTGCAAGAGCAACCTGAGCGAGAAGGAGGAGGAGCTGGCCGAGATCGCAGACAAGGTCCGGCTGCTCCTGGACGACCTGCACGGCCTGGACAGTGAGCCGGCCGGGCCGAGGCGCTGGCAGAAGCTCCTGTGGCGCCTCATGGAGAAGCCCGAGTCCTCCCTGGCTGCCCGCGTGGTGGCCGTGGTCTCCTTCCTCTTCATCCTGGTCTCGTCGGTGGTCATGTGCCTGGGCACCATCCCGGACCTCCAGGTGGAGGACGCAGAAGGCAACCGGGCCGAACACCCGACGCTGGATGCCATCGAGACGGTGTGCATCGGCTGGTTCACGGTGTGTAACGGGTTGTCAGGTTGGGATGGTCTTCATTCGGTTAATCGGCTAATTGGACCATCTGCAGGTTCCTCTCACTTTGCTCCTGTCACAGCGCTGCTATGGTTTAAAACCTGCGCGTGGAATCACTCCATTAGGGAAACATCCGGGATTCTCAGGTATAAATCGTGCAGCCATTCTATGGTTGTTTTCCAGTCACTCTGTGGCAAACTAGAACAGTGGAAGTGTCATTTATGACCTCAGGCTCAGCACTGATGCACAAAACCCTTCTATTCTGGTTTTATTAGATCTTAGTGCAGCTTTTGATACCGTTGACTCTTGATTTTAATCCAACGTCTTGAATGCTCTCGTGCACAGTTTTAGAATGGTTTAAATCATATTTAGGCAACAGGCAGTTCATGGATTCAGTAGGAAATCATTCATCAAAAAGATTTGGCATTTCTTGTGGAGTCCCTCAAGGTTCAGTTTTAGGGCCTTTGCATTTATGTACATGCTACCTCTGGGTGATGTCATTAGGAAACATAATATAAATTTTAATAGCTGTGCTGATGACACCCAGTTATACATTTCCATTCCTTCTGATGATCAAGACTCTGTAGACAGACTGACCAGCTGTGTGGCAGATATTTCTCAGGCAAAATTTTCTAAACTTAAATGATGAAAAAACTGAAATACTGATCGTTGGTACAGAAACTCAGAGAAAGCTGCTTTATGAGAAACCTGGTTCTTTAGCTTCATATTCCAAACCTGCAGTAGAAACCTGGTGTGATCTTAGACTCTGAGCTCTGTTTTATCCCGCATGTAAACACAGTCACTAAAGTAGCTTTTTATCATTTGAGAAATATCGCTAAAGTTCGGCCTTTTCTGTCTCAGAGCGACGCAGAGAAACTTGTTCATGCGTTTGTTACAAGTAGACTTGACTACTGTAATGACCTTCTGACTGGACTTCCTAAGAAAACTATACATCCCTTACAACTCGTACAAAATGCATCAGCATCCTAACAAAAACAACACAGAGAGATCAGATCAGTCCCGCTTTTAAAGAGCTGCACTGGCTGCCTGTATCATTCAGGAGAGATTTTAAGACTCTGCTCCTAGTTTTTAAAGCACTAAAAGACCTTAAAGCACCGCTTACATCACAGAGTGTCTGTCTGTTTATGATCTTAGATCTGCAGAAACTGACCTTCTGCAGATACCTTCAGTAAAATACAGAAAACGTGGAGAGACTCGTTCAGTTATTCTGCGTCTAAACTGTGGAGCTCAGTTCACCTTTTATTAGGTAGTCAAGCTCAGCGCTCAGTTTTAAGAAACATCTAAAAACGTCCCTCTTTAGCTCAGCGTTTAATTAAAACTCTACGTCTCTTTGGTGCTTACCTTTTAATGCGATCTGTCATTTTGTTATATGATTCTAAATTAATACTTATATTTTCTTGTATTACTGTTAAGCTTTATCACCTGTCTATAAATGATGATGATGATGATGATTATTATTATTATTATTTGTGTGACAAGCATGGTGCAGCATAACAATGGAACGCTTCCAGTCTACTGCAATCTGTCAGAATGACAGCATGTGAACAGCATAAAACTATAGAGAGTGCTTTTGTTTATAAATACATTTTGTATCGACTTGCTATGATCTACAGTGCCTGCAACAAATTGACTGCATCAACCAGCATCTCTCCAAAAGTGTTTTGCTGCGTCTTATTTCCAGTACCACAGTCTGTTTTCACACATGCACAGACTGAGAAATCTGAAAGAAATCAGAGTAAGAGTTCACATGTACAGAGAAATCTGATTACTGAGCTAGAATCCAGCTCTCTTTATCGGATTTTTTAATTGGATTTCTAGACCTTACTCCAATCTAAGAAATCTGAGTTTGCTGTTTACATGACTGCTTAAATACTCAGACAACTGCAGAAATCCAATTATGATCGGATTATCAAAAGAAAAATGGCTGACGTGTGTGAAAGTGGGACACATTTCAGTCACTGCCACAATGTTGCCATCAGTACATTTTGACACATAAATATTATGTGTCAAAACTTGATATGTCATTTGCTAGCTTGGTTTAGAGAATGTGCTGGCCAGTCATTGTGACCAAAGATGAGGCTCATAAACTGTGGGAAAACAGAGCTCACAATGATGATTTTGACAGGCTTTCAAATGCAACATCCCTACAGTAATTCATGAGTTTATGAGCTTAAAGGAGTGACCAAATGCACCATTTGCTTGGAGAAGCTCCGTTTCCTACTTCTTCAGCTGTGTGTGCAGGCCAGTCTTCACAGCTACCTACACAGATCATACAGGCCTGAGCACTTGGCTGCTAATTACCTCGGCTTAAAGTGCATTAAAAATTCTAATGCTGTGTTCTTGACAACTAGGACGTTGGTGACTTTCCGAGTAGGAATTATGAGTTGGATGGCTGTTCAAGTTGGTTTTTCCTACTCAGAAGTCACAGTTCTGACTTGCGCTACCTAATACATCTCGGTAGTGACTAGAGGCATCTCTCATTTACCTTTAACCTTTGGCTGTTACAGGTGGAGTTTGGTCTGCGACTGGCGTCGGCTCCCAACAAGGTGCGCTTTGCGCTGTCCTTTATGAACGCTGTGGACTTCCTGGCCATCATGCCCTTCTACATAGTGCTGACGCTCACGCATCTCGGCACGGCTGTCATGGAGCTGGCTAACGTGCAGCAGGCGGTGCAGGCGCTGCGCATCATGCGGGTGGCCCGCATCTTCAAGCTAGCGCGTCACTCGTCGGGCCTGCAGACACTGACCTACGCGCTCAAGCGCAGCTTCAAGGAGCTCGGCTTGCTGCTCATGTACATGGGCGTGGGCATCTTTGTCTTTTCGGCACTCGGCTACACCATGGAGCAGAGCCACCCGGAGACGCTCTTCCGGAGCATCCCGCAATCGTTCTGGTGGGCCATCATCACCATGACCACGGTGGGATACGGTGACATCTACCCCAAGACCACGCTGGGCCGCTGCAATGCAGCCATCAGCTTCCTGTGCGGCGTCATAGCCATCGCGTTGCCCATCCACCCCATCATCAACAACTTCGTCATCTACTACAACAAGCAGAAGGTGCTGGAGACGGCAGCCAAGCATGAGCTGGAGCTCATGGAGCTGCAGTCCCTTGAGCTGCCACCAGGGGGTGCCCCGCGAAGGCTCGATGCCCCGTGGGAAGGAACTATGCGCGCCTCGAGAAGTGACACTCATATCCCGCTGCTCACGGCCGGTCATGGGACGGTAGCGGCTAAGAAGAGGAGTGTGTCGTGAAACTGTGAAGACGCTTCATGTTGGTGCCATTTTACTTTGACTCATACGTCTTAAGGCCGTTTCATACTTCTGCGCAGAGATGCGTAGCAGAGATAGGTTTATGGGTAATCGTAACTTGCAAAGGTTTGCAGAGGAGCTGATGTGCAATTAAATTCATTTTTATTTATGTTGCTTATGTCCAAAAGCTTCCAGAAGCAGAATCAAAAGGAACAACTCTTTAAGAGCATGAGGAAGAAACACAGAGACTCCTCCACGTTTGGTCATGTGCGCACACCAAAATCTCAACTGGACGTTGAGGTGCAAAGCCAATGCTGATTAGTTGAGCATGGAAATGTATCCAGTAGTGGAAGATAAAACTAAACAGAGCCAAACAAAACACTGCGCCTTAAAAATCTTCTTCATTGTAGCCAATATTTTACCACTTCTATCCATTCTCAGTCTACGGATTGCAGGAAAGTGATGGCCATTTTCCATTCTCTGTGCATTCTGATTTGGTAAATGCAACACTGCCCCCTAGTGCATGTTAACAAACTGAACGCTTTGGCTGCCAGCTGAAATTTGCAGACGCAGAAGTATAATTCGGCCTTTATCCGCGCTAAGCCATTCTGTTTCCATGTCCAAAGATTGAGAGGACAGTCGGGCTGCTTGTGAGTGGACATTGGGTTTCTTGATGCCTGTTTTCTGTTCAGGTGTTCACAATATCAAAATTCAATAAAGTGCATGCCAAACTACGGCTTCGGGTTTTGCTTAAATCGTTGAGATGAACGTGAGAAATGCTGAACTTTCGATTATAGATTATGTTTGATCAGCCAAGATGTGTTTGGGGTCTCAAGTTGGCTTCTTTAGTTTCATGCTGGTGTTACTAAGCTAAATCAGTGAGTCCCAATTCAGGGGCTGGATCCTTTGAAGGACGCGGTCTATGAAGATGTGTCCTTCAAAGGATGCTTGGACCCACGAAGGCAGAACTGAAATGAGATGGTCTGCTCTACGGCAGATTTCCGGTTTGTGTCACAGCACCGCTGTTCCCGCCCTCACCGTTACGTCACGAACGCTGCTCCTGTCAGTTCTTTTAAAGTTCTTTAAAGATGAAGCCAGAAACTTTGATTTCATTTTTTTATTTTTTCATTTATTAGAGCTGAAGATGCTTCTCTCTCCTTGCTCCCCAAAACAAAACAAAACATTAGCATAAGTTTTGCTTCAGACCACATTTATTGGATTTTTTAAACATCTGTATCGTTCGCTATTCGAATCAGTTTAAACCCAATACATTCATTCAAAAGCGTCTCCTCAGCCGCCGTTCACTCCTCTGCTGACTACGCCATGTTCTCAAATCCACCCGGCAAGCAATGAACCTCAGGATATGCTGGCTGGCGAAGGATCCATCCGTTGGATCCTTCATTGCCATGGAAAAGAAGGACACATTTCTCGGCCGCATATGAAGGAGCCTTCGAAATGGGACAGTCTAGTCGCACCACTGTGACGCAGTCGGCCTTCAAATGCAGCCCCTGAAATGGGACACAGCTATAGTAGCTAAGAAGGAATAGAAGCTTGTAACTCATTAGCATTGTGATAACTGCATGTCTGAATCATCACGCTTGCCTCAAATCGTGTGGAGTTATTTAGTAATCTCAAATAAACTTGCTTATGTGGTTTCTAAGACGACATGCTGTTGTCTGTAGTGGGCAGAAAAAATGGACTTATTTGCTAAAGTAGCAAATTAGCTAAAACAAGTTGTAGCAGCCTTTCTGAGGCCTGAACTTTGTCTGTGCTTTTGTCCATTTTTAACTAAAGAAGCAAACAAACATGTCTTGGCTTATTGACACATGTAGGGTGAAGAGCAAAATACTGTAAACTGTTTTTTTACTCAGCAGTTCATCTACAAGGGCAGTTTGCACCATGCACATTCCTAGAGGTCTATTTATAGTGTAGGTAGTCAGTATAGGTGTGTGCAGTTCAGGCTCAGTGAATAAATGTTTTACAGTTGATCAGCCTCTGAATGGAGTCCAGTCCAGTGCAAAAATACCAGATAAATGTCTTTCCATGAAATATCACTCACACTGGTGAATGTCCATCCTTCAGATCCCTTTGTAGAGATACACCAAACCTCCCATGATGTGCTGTCCATGTGCCTTAAAGATCTGCCCAGCACACTGACCACAATCAAGGACTCCATCCTGACCTGCTTATAGTGTTTGACTGTGTCTGGTCAGCACCTGATCAGTCAAAGCAGTTATGTGGCTGGAACTAAATGGCCAGTGTGTTTTATTTGCAGTGTTGTTAGCTCTGTGTGTAGTGTGAGTGTGCATGAGGCGCATTGTTCACTGCTATGTGTGAGAAATTTTGGTGACACTTTATTCTGAGGGTCCTTTTTGAAACAAACACTCAATTGACTCTAAGTAACATGTCAAAAACATATGAGGGTCAAGATTTGGTTTTGGGTTGAAGTTAAGGTTAGGATTAGGGCCAGGGGGAGGGTTAGGATTAGGCTTTGGGTTGAGGTTAATATATATGTGACATATATATATGTGAAACATATGGAACATATTACTATTACATATAGATGCTTAGAAGATACTATTACTACCTCTACACATCACTGTGCAAAGTTAGTGACCACCCTTCATTTATTAAATTTTCAGTCAAAAAGTCTATTAAGTACAAGTTGTAATTTTCAGTAGATACTTCTGAGATTAGATATGTGATAATCCAGAGAGAAAATGAGACTCCTAACAACCGCCTGGAAGAGCTGGCCGACACCAAAACTGCCCCCATCAGATAAACAGCACTTAAAGCTCTCATCTCTGAGAGAGAGGAGAAAATCAAGCTGCTTCAGATCTGAAAACATCCACAGGTGTTTCTGTCCATCCTTCCACTGTGAGAAGACGACTCAGCGCTGTGGGTCTGAAAGGACGTGTAGCCGTCAAGAAGAACCTTACTGAGAAAAGGAGACGGACACATCAAACAAAGAAGCTGAACAGTGGACTGACCACCCCAGAGTCCAGACCTCAACACCACTGAATGTGTTTGATTACTTCAGAAAATCATCAACCAGCTTCTAAGACTGAACTTTGGAGGTGTGTCTGCAGATTCTTTGAGGAGCTGAAAGTGAGTCTCCTGAAAAGAATGGAAGCTGGAATAAAGGGAAAGAGTGACTCACTGAATACTTAAAAAAATCCATATGATAATTCAATGTTGAGGCTTCTGTTAAATATGTTTTCAAATTTTTTCCAGATGCTGAAAAACCAAATAACTTCATGGCCATAATGACTGGAAATTAGACATATGTATGACCCCATGCCCTGACAAAGTATACGTTTGCGTGTACATTCAGTCATGTGCACTGTTTATGCAAGAACAATGTCACTAAAGCAAGACACTGTGTTCCATTTATGAGAGCTAATGTTTGAGCACCATATGCTAATAATGCACTTAGCATCAAAAACTCAGTAATAACAGAGAAGTTAATTCCCCATAGCTGCTGGTGGCCGGTTTCTGATTGGCTCTTATCCTCCTGGCTGCTCTTTTAGGCCCTGCCTTCTGTGCCAGTCGGCTCTTGGGCCTCCATTGCCATGGGAACCAGGGCGAATGCCCAGCACTAGCTGCAGATAGCAGGACTAGTTGGAAGTGGGCTTCCGAGTTTTAATGCCAGGACAAGCCGGAATTACAAGATGAGGAAACTCCAAACATTTTGGAAGTTTTCTTTTTATAACATTCAGATGCAGTGAAGTATCATCTACACAACACAGGCATCCAGTAAGTGGCGTGAAGGAGAGGAAGAATTCTGCCTGTAGATTCAGTGTGAAAACCCAACGCTGAGTGTGTGAGAGATCGCAGTGACTGTTTGTGTGTGGTTGTATTTGTTTGTGACATTATTACATGAGAGAGAGAGAGAGAGAGAGAGATAGAGTATGAGAGTGTATGTGGAGGGTGGGCAGTTGTATGTCTAATACAAATATTACCTGAAAGACATTGGCTCTAATTCATCAGTCAAATTTCATAATGACCAAAACTATTATTACAATCTAAAATACCAATAATATGAATGAAAACAGAAAATGTACATATTTTACATGCACATTAGTACAAATGAATGCTGTAGGTGTTCCATGTTCCATTTAAGGACATATTACACTGTGCTTTTGTTTACACTACTGACTCCGCCCCCAAAATAAAAAATTCAAAACATAGCTACTGCAGAAGCATCTCAGACACTGCAATAATACAGCGTATAAATATGTTATTTTACACCACACAATCACAATAACACTAGAACTATAAAGTTTGGTCAGTAGGGGGCGCAGTGCTCCACCTTAAACTCCGCCTACGAGCACAGCCATTGGCTCAAAGCCCCGGCCCCATTTTATTGGCTCCTTACTGAAACATCCGCACGAATTAGGATGTGCCGCATATGAACGTAAATGAGGTGCTGGTAGACTGGCGCTTGATTTCACGCACTGAAGCTGATTCTTCATTGGTGCCAAAACATCCTCTTGTTTCCACGTCGTACGAAAGTGTCAACAATTAGACGCAGAGTAGTTTCGTACACCACTAGGCTGTCAAATTTGGGTTCTTTTTACTCAGCTTTGATGAATGAGCCACGGTGCTTAATACAGTTTTGCACCATAATTTAGGGGCTGCAGAATTGGGCTTGTAGACACTACAGAGGGGTAGCAGCTGCCACCCCTCACCACCCCATAGATCCGCCCCTGACACACTGTGTTTGTGCATGAGTGTGCTTTTTTGGGTGTGTGTGAACGTGCATATGCTGTGTGTGTGTGTGTGTGTGTGTGTGTGTGTGTTTGTACATGTCTTGCTATCCTTGTGAGGACTACACTGTTAGAAATGAAGGTTCTGTTCAGGTACATTTTTCATTCATCAAGGTACAAACAATGTAAATGTTCCCTCAAAGGTACAACAGTGGTTTTAAGGTCAGATTGTGAACCTTAAATAAGTTTTTCCAGGTGAAAAGTTCGTATTTGTACCTTTTCATAACAGAATGTTTTAAAACAGAACAGTAAAATAAAAGCCTGGAGACGAGACGGGGTGTGTGGAGTCAGTACAGCTTAGAACATATCATTTCAGTGGATTATGGTACAGTTATGTTCCCTGACTAAAGGTACTGAGATGGACCCTTGAGGGTCCCACCCCAGTGACAAGAGGGGCACTGCCCCAGTGACAGTATGGCACCTTTATTTCTGAGAGTGTATATGTCTTCACAATGATAGGACAACATGACATTTTTGCGCAAGCGAGCACATCTTGCTGTTGTTGTTTTCACCACAAATTACATTGGAAAAACTGAAAGAGAAGAAAAATTGTATTTTGCATACTGAGGTTAAGGTTAGGGCTAAGTTACTTGGCTACAGCATGACAAAAATCAATAGAAAGCTATGGATGTCCTCACAAGCAATGTAAAACAAGATAGTGTGTGTGTATTAGAGTGTGCATGCCGTCTGTGTGTATGTGAGAGAGAGAGAAAGAGAGAGAGGGAGAGAGAGAGAGAGAAAGAGAGAGAGAGAGAGAAGCGTGGGTTTGGACATGACAGTATATCATTAGTGTTTGATTTCACTTTTGTCTGAATGCCAGAATAATGAATGCAGCTGCTTCGCTGTCAGACAGCATGTTTTCAGCAAACCTTCGCACATTACAGCGCTGTTGTACGGAGCAGCAAAAAAAAAAATTACACCTGATCTATCCTAACAGTGAGACCTTTCACACGCACACCAAATAAAT